TCATATTTTAATGCAATCTTTCTTGATTATAGATCCTCCTTCATTAATTAGTATTGCACTAGCTATGGTGGCCCATCAGAAGAGGGACAGAAGTGAGTAGACGGAAAAGGAGAAATTAATTATTATTTAATTAACCAAACAAATAGGGTTCTTTATAGAGCAGAGCTCAAAAACTGAATTGAGAAATATGACTAATTCAACCCTTGGGAAAATGAGGGGAAGGTTCAGAGATTTCCCATGCCTGACACATGCAGAGCCTCCCCCACTATTAACATTCCCCATCAAAGTGGTACATTCGTTACAGGTGATGAACCTAAATTGATACATCATAATTATCCAATGAAAATAGTTTACATGAGGGTTCATTCTTGGTGTTATACATTCTATGAGTTTGGACAAATGTATGAAGACACATATCTATCATTATGGTATCTTCATACAAATATCAAAATACAGGGTATTTTCACTGCTCTAAAAAGCTTTTGTGTTCCACCTCTTCATTCCCCTCTTTACCTCTCCCCTGCCCCACCAACTCCTAGGAAAAACTGATCTTTTTACTTTTTCCATTATTTTGTTTTTCTCAAAATGTCAGATAGTCAAAATTACACAATAGGTGTCCTTTTCAAATTGGCTTCCTTCACTTAGTAACAGGCATTTAAAATCGTCTGACTTTTCACAGGATTTCATTTCTTCTTAGCACTGAATAACGCTCTCTTGTCTAGATGTACCAGGATTTATTTATCCATCTACCTGTTGAAAGACATCTTGTTTTCTTCCAAGTTTTGGTAATTATGAATAAAACTTCTATAAACATCCATGTGCAGGTTTTAGTGTGGATACAAATTTTCAACTCCTTTACCAAGCAGTGCAACTGCTAGACTGTATGGTAAAAATATGCCAAATTGTTTTTCAAAGTGACTGTACCATTTTGCATACCCAGGTATTTGCATACCTAAGTATTTCACTTATTTGGGGTGCTAATGTAAATGGCAGTTAATTTCTTTTAAAAAGATAGATATGTATAGCCAAATTATAGAAAGAACCCAAATGTCCATTGACTGATGAATGGATAAAGAAGATGTGGTATATATATATATACAATGGAATATTACCTGGAGAACAAAAAGAATGAAATCTTGCCATTTGCAACAACATAAATGGAATTAGAGTGTATTATGCTAAGCGAAATGTCATTCAGAGAAAGACAAATATTATAGGGCTTCATTCATATGTGGAATTTAAGAAACAACAGATGAACATAGGGGAAAGGAAGGAAAAATAAGATAAAAACAAAGAGGAAGGCAAACCATAAGAGACTGACATACAAAGAACAAACTGAGGGTTGCTGGAGGGGAGGTGGGTGGAGTGATGGGCTAAATGGGTGATGGGCATTAAGGAGGGCACTTGTTGGGATGAGCACTGGGTGCAATATGTAGTGATGAATCACTAAATTCTATTCCTGAAACCGTTACTACACTCTATGTTAACTAACTTGGAATTTTAAATTTAAATTTAAAAAAAGAAAATAAGCTAGACATCTGTCTTATGTTCCTTTACAGAAATCACAGTAATCTGTTATGCATGAGAAGCATATCCTCCCTGCACCCACCCCAAAGCCTTTAAAGATCAAAGCAAAGAAACATAAATATATTAAAAGATAATGTGAGCACACTGCAAAGTGTAAAGAAATGAGGGAAAAGTTAGAGATTATTATTGTCAGGCATATTGACATAGTGCAGTGTTCCAGCCTCTTCCCTATTACTCCCATGATGGGAGTTCAAAGGCCGAAGTCTCATTTCTCCTACCCTCATTTGTGGAGTGGGTGTGTTGGCTGCGCAGTGCTCTGTCTACTGAAAATCTAGAAGATGAGCTCCTGAAGCTCTAGATGGAACTCATAATTAATATTCCCATGGTAGGGGATAGGGAGAATATGTTTATGAAGTGACAGCTCATAAGGCTATATGTCCAATATGCTTGTTTAGATGGACCTAAATATAAAAATTTCCCATTATAACAATTTTTAATGTCTTTTTTTTCTTTCAACAATTTATTCTGATACATAAGCTTCTCACACGTCTTGGAAGGAGCCCTCAGCTCAAACAAAGAATATTTCTCCTAGAACCATTAAATGTAATGGGAGTATTGTGGTCTCAAGGCACCCCTAGAGGAATCAGCAGTGAACTCTTTCTTGCTTCAGAACCACTTGTGCTTTGCTTGCACTGAGCCAGATGTCACTCCACGTGGCTGCCTGCCCATTCTTACTCCCCTCATCAGATCTACAGCTTAGCTTTGCTCCCTTTATCATAAAACCTTGTAGAGTTAGTCAACAATACTGACCTTCAGATTACTTGTCTGCAAGGAGATTGTCATGTCTGTCCTGTCCACCAACTCTGGGGCCACCTGACGTGGACATCTTAGTCATTCTTTCATCAGTCCTTGGGTGTCTGAGGCCCTAGGAATGTATCATCTTGTCACTGGACACCCATTATTTAACTCATAAGGGCCAGCCTTCATCACTGGATTCCACCCAGTGTCATGCTGCCATCATTGGTAACCTTGATGTGGATGAATCCAAAAGACCTTCTGCTTTTATCTTAGTTGACTTCTTAGCCTTGTTCAACACATGCCTGGTTTCCTTTTTGAAATACATGCCTTTCTTGGCTTCCATGACCCACAGCCTATTTGTTTTCTTCTGGCTTTCTGTCTTGCCCATCTTGGATAGCTCTTTGTCCTAGGTTCAGAATGCCAGAGTTGAGCAGATTTATTCCTTGGCCTTTTTCACTACCTCCTTTCCCCCTGGATGATCATACCTAATCCTACAGCTCTATAACCGACCTTATCAGTTACCTATTGCTGCAATATTGCTGTGTAACTCAGTATCAGGTAGCAGTGAGTACTTTCAGAGTGAGAAAATTGAGGCTCCATGAGAAAAATTAACTTCTAGGGGATATAAGTGACATGAGTCTCTAAACATGATTCCCAGGTTACTGCATTTTCCACTCTATTAAAAACTTAGAAAGAAAGCAACCATTATAGCCACCTCATTTCTACCAGTAGCCATTGTGGAGCAATCACATTTCAAAATAATTTTTAAAAACTCTCCCATATTTTAGTTCTCCAAAATTCTGTACAAACATGCCTTTAATGTCTCTTGTTAATGTTCTTTATTTGATTCTTAAATGAGAACTTTCATCCGTTTGCCACAACCATAATATATTCAAATTCTTCTCTCTTCAAACTATTGTAAATGGCCACTTCCTATGAAATGATTCATTATATCTACATTTTCAAGTTTGGTGTAATAAAATGTTACCCACTTGGAATAAAGGTGGTATCCATTAGGATTCTTTGGTGACACATAGCAACAAATGATCTTGGGTGATTTATAGAAAAGAGGATTTTGTTGGAATAATTATAACAAACACCTATAGCATTTACTCTGATTAGGCACTGTTCTAAGCATTGGGCTAATTAATTCCTAGAAAACCCTATATATAGGCACTATTGCACTTTACAGATATAGAAACTGAGGCACAGAGAAATTAAGTAAATTGTTCCAGATAACACAGTTAGGATGTTGCCAAACCTGGATCTGAATCCAAGCTCTGTGGCTCCAGAGCCTTAGACACTATAGCCTATCTAAGATTATGGGGAAGTCATATAATCAAAGGGAAGGCTACAAAGGCAGGTTCAGAAAAGGTTAGAAACCAGGGTGTCCCTAATCAGGGATAAATGAACTCTAATCACCCCTCAAACATCCGTCTCAGTTTAAGTCTCCAGAATCAAAGTCCTGAGAGACCGGCCCAATTAGTCTTTCTACAGGAGAGAGCAGGGCACCTTAACTGAAGTTCTAGTAAGGCTGCATGCAAAGGGGAAAAATCAATTCCCTAAGAAGAAATGGGAGTGTTGTCATAAAAGGAAGGAGGTTGGGGAGGAGTGGGCTGCAAAACAATGCCCACTACATGAAGCATGAAGGAAAGGTTTTAATTCATATTAACAAAAAGTTCACAGTGGCATTTGTGTGAGAGACCTCTCAACTGCTTTAAGAACATGTCCTCAGTAGGCAACTTTATTTGGAAGACATATCTGTACCCCTTTCCTCCTAGTAACCCCACTCCAAACTCACTCTGTAGAGTCCATGTTTTCCCACTTAGAGCACAGCACACTGAAATATCTATCATCATTGACATACTCTTCCCTAACCCCATGTAGCTATTGATTTCTATCTAATTCTTATACAGCTGTGCTTCCCTCATAGTCTAACTTCTTGAAAAGACAGTGTATGGTCCCCACACCCCCCTTTCTGCACAGTTACTCCCCAATTAATTATCATCTTGATTTTTCGTCTGTCATTCCTGCATTCTACTAACATTGCCCTTGCTAAAGTCACCAATGACTAGATTTTGCCAAAACAAATAAACACCTTCTCTTATCTTGACTTTTCCACATGCAGTATTTGGCATTCTGAGTGCTCTGTCCTTCTAGAAGCTCTCTTAATTGTGATATGCTCACCTGGTTTTCCTCTTTTCTCTATATAATCCCTACTTAATACCACTCTTTGGCTCTTTTTCCCTCAGTTCATTTCTTAAATGTTGGCATTTCCTAGAACTTGTGCTCTTCTCACTTCATACATTCAACCTGGGGGACACTATTATTTATATATTCATCAATCTCAAATGCATCTTCATCCAGAACTGTACCAATCTCCAAAAGAGCAGCTCTCCTCATAGAAGTGTTATTGATACTTCTAATTAGATATGTACCAAAACTCATTCACTCTTACTTCCAAGTACATTTCTCCCTCTTAATTATCTCAGCCAGTGTTACCTCCATCTTCTCATTGAGTCAGAAACTTCAAAACCACTCCCACTTCTCCCTTCTCCTTTCTCACATCTCACTAACCAGTGAGATTTGTCTTCTAGACAATTTTTTTTTAATATCTTCTCTGTCTACCACCTCTTCTCTAGTTTCCCTACTGCTGGTATAATGTAAGCACTTACCATTTCTTGCCAGAATTATTTCAAGGACTTCCTATATCATCTCTTTGCCTTCAATCTGTACCTTCTTCAGTTTTCCACACTGCTGCCACAGAGATTTTTCTAAAATGCAAATATGATCATGTAGGTTCCAGAATTAAAATGCTTCAATGACACCCACACGTTTCATGAGAAAATTCAAATTCCTGAGCTTAGCACACAGGTTCTCTGTGATGAGACTCCTGTTACCTCTTCAGACACATAGCTTGGTAGGAGCCCAGAGTGTTTCAATCTAGCCATTAAGAAGGCTCCGTGGTTGCCCAAACATGTCAAAGTCTCTCCACCTTCATCCATACTGCTTCATGTTTCTTGAATGCCCTCTGTACCGAGTTGAATACGGTCTCCTAAAATTTAGGTCCACCTGGAACCTGTGAATGTGATCTGACCTATAAATAGGGTCATTGTAGATATAATCATCTGAAAATGAGGTCATACTGAGTTAGGATGCACTCGAAGTCCAATATAGCTGGTGTCATAAGAAGTAGGAAATTTGGACATAGACCACCCCCACACACACACACACACCCACGTGCACACATAGGGGAGAAGGTCCTACGAAGACACAAGCGGAGACTGGAGTGGCACATCTAAAAACAAGGAATACTGAGGATTGCTGAAACCCATCGGAAGCAAGGAGACAGATGTGGAAGTTTCTCCCCCGGAGCCACTGGAAAAAACCAACCCTGCTGACATCTTGGTCTCAGACTTCCTGTTTCTTAAGCCACACAGTTTAAAGTATTTTATAATGGTGGGTCTAGGAAACTAATAGACCCTTCTTACTCTTTTTCCCTTGCTAACCTTATTTCAGCTTAGCATCTCTCTGGCAAGCTTTCCTGGTGCTTCTCCACCCTCAAGCCTTGGATGCCCTTCTTCTGCTTTCCCATCGCATCTGTATGTATCTCTATTATAATGCATTGTTATGCTGTCATCATTGAGTTTTTGTTCTTTGTGTTTTCTTTACAGGTGATAAGCTCTAAGATTGTTGAGAGAGTGCCCACCTGACAGCCCCAGGACCCTGCGTGTGCAGTTAACATTTAGGGGATGTTAGCATGTGTGTGATTTTATTTCCTTCAAATGGAATATTACAATCAAGTAGAGAGGATATAAGTAAATGGGGAAAAGTAAGATCTCACATTAGGCCAAGAGTGTGCAATGCATTGACAATGAAACGACCTTAAAATAAAAGAAAAGCTATTTGTATTACCGAAGCTAATTTTATCCACTAGTGCTGATGAGAATTGTGTTCATGCTGTTCCAAATTACGAATTATTTGCTTTGCATTTTGCATTTTTTACTAGAAGTTCTGAATAGCAGTTCATAATAAAAAATACATCATATGAATATCTAAGTAATAGAAATAGACTTCATAAACAATGAAATAAATGGAAGTCAAGAAAGTTTACAATATGCCTGACCATTGGGCCTGACTCACTTGCTCCAGTGGTGTTCATTCTTTATTGGGTAAGCTTCCACAGATTTGTAGGAGCTCATTAGGGAAGGATCAATCCGAAGCATGTAGGATGTTAGCCCGAGACTCACTTGTCAGAAGTGTTGGCACTTTATTCACTAAAAATAACCTCTTCATGGCCTAAAGTAGCTTAGTGGCCTGTATCCTCTTCATTATTATGGGAATTATAAATCAGACTCAGTGTTTATGTTAAAGATCTCACAAACATGTGGACATCTGCCTAATAAAGATATAAAAAGCTGAACTTGTTTACTTCTAAGAATTCATTAATTGTTTGCCATACATACAATTATATTTCCCTCAGATGGTAACACAGGCCATTTTTTCTATAAGTGGTAACAGTAGCCACATCTATTCAGGCCTCAGAAGACCACCTGGTATTAAAGTTAACAAAAGTTGCTGAGGGCTTTAGTATTTTGATTGGAGAAGATCTTGCTTAATTGAAGGCTCTGAGATGAGATTAAAACAGGGCATTCACAATAATTATTTTTCTTATTCACTCAACTGTTATGCACTAAACAAAGGGCCTGAAGCACCACGAAACATGTTACGCTTTGAGGCTATGTCAAATTCTTTAACACAGATGGGTACTGGGCCTGTGGTAGGTACCAGAGAGCCACAAAATGATCAAGACTCAATCCCTGCCTTCAGGAGTTGGCATCTGCTGAGGACAAAGGCAATTTCAGTGCCAGAGATTTCAACAGTAACATAAGAGGAGGATGATTCATTCCATCTTGTGTAATCAGGGAAGGCTTCCTGGGAAAGCTGCGACCTGCTGCAATACTGAGAAGAAAAATGTATCAGAAACAGTGTAAATAACTGCACAGATCATGGGATACATAAGATAGGCTTTGGGAACAGCTCCAAGTTTAATGAGGAGTGAGGAGGAAGGAGACATAGTAAGGAGCCAGGCCCGAAAGGTGGAGATAATATTATTTATATGTATTTATCTATGTGACAGTTAACTCCTTTATTCACTCATTAAACATTTATCGAGTAGTTGCTATGTTCCAGGCACTGAGGATATAATGGGGAATATACCAGTCTTCCCCTTCAGGAAGTTCTTTTTTTGTTTTACGTTGATTTTTGAGAGAGAAACAGAGATAGGGGAGTGGCAGACAGAGGGAAAGGAAGAATCCCAAGCAGGTTCTGCATCCATCGTCAGTGCAGAGCCTAATGCCAGGCTCAAACTCACAAACCGGGAGATCATGACCTGAGCCCGTAGCAAGAGAATGGACTGAGCCATTCAGGCGCCCCCACCTTCCTTTCAGGAAGTTCTTATCCAGTCGGGGAGGCAGAAACCTAAAGGACTGATTGGAAACAAGGTAGTGAGCCCCTTGAAAGAGAGAGGTACAGGAGTCATGAGAGCTCAGTGTTAGTGCATCTGACAGAGGAGCCACCCAAGGCCTCTGAGTGTAAGAGACAGCAAAGCTGCCTTGAAAATCCAGCAGGAGTGTGCCAGTGGGAAGGGAAGGGCATTTCAGGTGCACATGAGCAACAACATGTGAGCAGCTGTGCAGAAGGGAGAGACAGCCTGTTGGGAGGAGTGGTTGAGGGTGGGGTGGGGTTGGAACAATAAGTAAGTGAGCCCCACCGAAGCTCCAGATGCAAGGCTGATGGCATAAAGCAGCCATCTGTCAAGCGATGGGGCTAAGGGCAGTAACCAAGTGAGGCTGTGCCGGGCCGAGTATGTCTTTTCCCCAGATCACGGGCAGTCACTGAGGGCTTGATGGGTCAGGTGTGTGGAAGCCAGAGAAAGAAGGGCCTATGCTGCAGGAGGTACTGTGAGAACCAGGGCAGTGATCATAGGAAGGAGTAGGGAGGGATGAATCTAGAAATACTGAAGAGGTTAAATCACCTGTGCACTGTGACTGACCGAATGTAAAGGATGAGACAGAGAGAACATCCAAGGCTTCACAATGAGGCAGGAAGGTAACAGGATGCTATGGTCAGTGTAACAATAGATGTTTTCAGAGTACCCAACAGAAGTCAGTGAGTGAAGGGACCCAGACCACCTTGAGAATTCTGGAAAGCTTTGCTGAGCAAAATGACTCCTGACGTGAGATCTGAAGGGTGTAGAGTAATCCATGAGAAGGAAAGGGTGGAGGAAAGGAGGCCACCCAAGGCAAAGGAAACAGCACAGAGGCAGGAGACTGAAAACAATACATCAGTGAATGATCAGCAGTTCAGAATTCCTATGTCCTATACCTCTGGATATATTGCTTTGTGTGAGAGGCTATACTGACAGGTGGTTAAGGTGTGCTTCTATGATCAGATGGTTTGGTTTCACACCTAGCTTGCCACTTCCCAGCAGTGCGGCCTTGGGGGAGTTACTTAAGTCCTCAGTGCCTACCACTTGTAACACCTGCAACACAGAGATGAAAATAGCATCTACTTCATAGCGTTGTTGTATGTGCTCAGAAGGAAGCTTGGCACTCAGTGTTGGCTAGTGGGCGGCAGTAGCATTGGTGATAGGGGTAGTAGAATTACTTGGGTTTTACTACTAATACAAACTTACCACCAGGTCCACCTTGCAAATCTACTGCCCCTGCTATACCCTTCTTCTCATCCCATCCATGCCATAGCCATTCCATATTGTGGAATAACCAAAAGATCACAGTCTATAACTGGAAATGTTATTTTATTTTATTATTTTTTTCAAAGTTTTCTTTAAAAATTTTTTAATAGTTTACTGTCAGGTTGATTTCCATATAACACCCAGTGCTCATCCCCACAAGCGCCTTCGTCTATGCCCATCACCCTCCTCCCCTCCCCCCCCACCTCCATCAGTCCTCAGCTTGTTCTTGGCATTCAAGAGTTTCTCATGGTTTGCCTCCCTCCCTCTCCCCCACTATTTTTCCCCTTCTCCCCCACGGTCCTCTGTCTAAATTTAAAAATGTTTAATGTTTATTTATTTTTGAGAAAGAGAGAGAGAGAGAGAGGGAGAGGGAGAGCGTGAGCAGGAGAGGGGCAGAGAGAGGGAGACACAGAATCCAAAGCAGGTTCCAGGCTCTGAGCTGTCAGCACAGAGCCTGATGTGGGGCTCAAACCCATGAACTATGAGATCATGACTGAGTCAAAGTCAGTTGCTTAACCGACTGAGCTACCCAGGTGCCCCCATAACTTGAAATTTTAATTCTGAAAAAAAATGGAAATCTCAGGCTGCATTGCAAAAGTCTCAATTCTCTACTCTGTCATCTGTCATATAATTCACACTTTGAAAAAAAATCTGTCTCTTTTCTCTATAGACATTAATAAAACAAGGTACTTAAGATTCACCTGTACACAAACTGAAATTGATGCTGATGGGAAAGAGGCAGATGAAGTAAATCAGCATATCCAAGAAGAACAACAGAGAACTGGGTGTTGGGCAGGAATCATTATGGACAGGCAGCTTGTTAGAATGTCCACTCTTTACCTAAATCTGTAACTGCGCTGTCCCACATGTTTAATTTATTTCTGGTGGAAAAAGAAATATTACACTAGTTTTTCAGTTAAATTCATCATTTTCTAGCTTGACTTCATCAGTTGCTCATATTCTCCTTCTCTCCCTTTTTATTTTGGGGAACATATTTTTCCCTTTAACTTTTAGACA